TATATAATTTCTCAGCACTTTTTTTTATAGGCAAAATTGTTGAATACAAAAGTTGCTGATGAATATAATACTTTCCTTGTAAAAAATACTTTGAATATAAGCAGTGAGTTATTGGGGTGAGCTAAAAAGTTTGCCGTTTGTAGACCTGTTGAAAGCTCTCTATTATAATTTTTTTTCATACTGCATGAGGTGCCAAAAATACCCAAAAAAGGTCGATAAGAAATTTATTATTAGTGGTATCACTCACCTGTAAGAAGCTGCTTTAATATATTATTAATGGTACTCCTAAAAGCCTGCTCATTTACAGGGACTAATGCTTTTTCAGGTTGACTAACAGAATTTCTTTTCTCCAACCACTGCTTCAAAGTCGAATGACACAAAGCCATTTGGATGTAAAGTGTAGCCCATTTTACTTTTGATCTATTTATTAACTTTATCCTCTGTATTTCTTTCAAATTCAATTTGCAGGGAGAATTTGTCGATTCTCCTTCTGATAAACTTTTTTTTCTTAGTTTTGTAAGTGTGGCTGGGGCATTACAACATGCTCCAGTTAAGCTATTCTCAAAATCAATTTGGAAATCACTTTGATCTTCCTTATCTTCTTCTGTGAAGGAGTATGAATCTCTACGGTAGATATATTCTGTTTTACGAGTTTGAGTTGAGTTGTAAGAGGCAGTACTTTGGGTTTTAGAGTGCCTATCTGTCAATGATTTGTTAATGGTTGGAGCACCGATTTGCAGCCAAGCACCTTTGTATTGAACAATGTTGGGATGGTTCATACTGGCAAAAGTTTTAACTTCTGACAAATAATTTTTCACTGACTTGATCCCTTCAGATCTTATTGGAATTTTTTTGATTGCATATTCTGTTCCATCTAATTTATGTTTCACTCTAAAAACCTGAGAGAAAAAAAAGATGAACAATTTCTAGTATCAACAAGATACAAATATTTATAGAATTTTCAAAGAACTGAATCATTTTATTTTCTGAATTGAGTAAAAATGAGAATATGCCAAAATAAAATAATAAACTTGGAATATTAATAGATAACAGTACACTATGCAAATTTCCACTCTATCATGAGGCTAGAAATAACA